AATAACTAATAAATGTTGACGTGAACGAAGGCCACAACCATGGATTCAACTTGAACTGCAAGTGTCTAAAGAAAGCTGTGTGCACTGGCGAATAAGGTATGGTCTAAAGGAGAAGAAAAAGAACCAGAACTCGGAAGAAAATGTATCAAAAAGAAGGCACCTGACACGCTGCATTAAAAAAGGAACATCTCTGTGATGCATTGCAGTGCGATTGATTATAAAATAGTGAAATGATGAGCATATGCATAATGTCCCTGCAGTCTGAGCATGCTGACAGAGGAACTGTGTTGAGCCCTCCGGACCTCGTTTCATATTTGGCAGCGTGACAGGCAAGCAGTTGTCAAAAATCGATCTTATAGGTTGCACAAAAATTGCACTGAAAGGCCTTTGTGCACTTTGCAGTTGTGACTCAAAATCCATTTTTTTTCAACGACACCCTGTCTGCTGAAAAAGTGTGAATATCACTTGATTTTCTACACATTTTTCCACGTGACAACCACAAATGCCAGTGTTTTCATTGGCTTTTCATGTGATCTAGCAACATAATCAGAAGCTGGAAGGGAAAAAAAATACATTGTAGTAATGTGAATGAAAAATCCAATACTTGGGGGGGGGTTAGTTTGTATTCAGCCCCCTTTTGCTGCAGATGTTTCTGTACGTCTCTAGCAGCTCTACAGACAGAACCTTCTGACCTGACTACGCTTGGTCAGACCGGAGGAAGACACGATTTGTGTAGTGCCCGACGCTCCTCCTATTGGTCCAGTTGCTACCTGAGCCGTTTATCTCAGCGTGAGCCTCTTAGCCGCTCCTCTGATTAAAACCCTCGCTGGCCGTCTTGGTATGTCTGCAGTTGTGTCAAACTGTTTCATCATGGATTCATGGAACATCTGGACTTAAACTGGGATTATTTTACACACCGGTGGCCTCCATTGAATAATTAGGTGTTTAATGAAAGCCATCGATTTTATTAAGGGCACCAGAGTAAAAGGAGATTAATGAAAAGGTTAATTGTATTTTTCAGGTCTTCATTTGTATGAAACTTTCAGCTTGTTTGTGATGGACGTATGTTTGACTGAAAGAAGTGGGCATGTTAAAGAAATTGTTATTTTCAATTATGATTCCTTCTATATTCATTTGTTAAGTGTACATCTTTCTTTAATCAAAGAATAAAAAAGTTTTAATTCAAGACTTAATCTGTACATTTATCAGAAAGAAATCACCGCAAGCTCATTTCTACAGACCAAAGCGCTACAGGAAGTGTTTGCTTTGCGTGCGTCGATGGACTGGCGCTCACCAGGACTGCAGAGGACTCTTGTGATCTCCTTCGGCTGCCAGCGCTTGCTTGTTCAGTTTGCAGCGTCCGCCAATCTCCCCCGCACGGAGAAAGTCCTCGTCATACCTGGATAGCGAAGACGGTCGAGATTCGGGTCACTGTTATTCTGGGGAAGGGAGACGGCTTCTAAACGCCACCGACCTCTCGTGACTTCTGCGTGGATTTCGCAGGTCCAGGTAAAGATTTGTTGCTCTGCAGAATCTTGCGTAGCTGCTGCATTTTAATGACGAGTCTCCCTGGGGAAATAAAGCACCATGAAAATAAATCACGTTTAATTGACTTTCACGAAGCATCCATCAGAGTTTGGGAGGATGGTCTCTCAAAGTAACCCTTTCCATCTGACTTATTTAGCGACAGCAAAAATAAAATAAATACTCCTGGCTGATTGGCTTCATGTTTTTGTTGAACAGTGAGTCAGTTGTTTTTTTTCGTTTTTTTTTTTGGACTCGCTGTTTTCTTTCCTGTTGACTAAGAAAGCTCGTGAGAACTAAGGAAATGAGCGGACGTACCGGCTCGCCGGCCTTGCAGAGTGTTTTGAGTTCAGAGAGTCGCTCCTTGACGTAACCAAAATCAGCCTGCTTCCAGAAAAGCTCCTGGGCTGCGTCCAGCGAGCGGGCCCTGACACAGTCAAGATTTAGGCAGATCAGGGGAAGCGCGGCCAGCGATGTGCATGAGGAACGTGTTGAGCTTAAAATAACAATTCTACTGGGGAATCAAATGCGATTTGGTCAAATGTATGAATGGTGCGGCGAGTGAGGTCTTAGAGCAGTTACCATCCGGAGTTAACCTTGGTGCAGACGGGATAGCTGAAGCGTTTCTCTGCATCGCAGTTTTTCTCGTAGCCCCAACAGAGCGACGGATTCTGCAAAGCATCCTGTTACAAAGAAAACAAAGTGTTTGCCCCACAGAGGCTGTATCTATCCATCACTCCACCAAAGAGAGATTACACAAAATGAAGTTACAGGAAGCTTGCTGGTGAAATACAGCAGATCATCCTGTGAATTCATATTAATCTACAGAACAAGAAAAACATGAGGTGAAAACATGAAGGTTAGTAATTAGCTAATCCATACGATAGCCCAATGAAACAGTCCCAAAGTGCAAACAGAACAGAACAGAACAGAATAGAATAGAATAGAATAGAATAGAAAAGGAAATGTGTACCCACAGGAGCAAACATAAAACTATGCATGATGATAAATAATAAATACAAAGTGCATATTAATTGTAGCAAGACACAAAAAAAGGGATAAATGTACAGTGTTACTTCATTTAAAATCTGGAAACATGTCATATTTAAAACACTGGAAAAATCTCATTTATTCATCGCGCAAAATAAATTCTTATTTTCTGTAAAATAAAACGCCAAAATATATATTTTGACAGAAAATAAAATTGTGGGTAAACTTAACTGAACATAAAATTTATATAGATAGATAAGTAAAAGAGAAGCCAATATTGTAATGAAGAACATATTTTTTCACAGCACTTTTTTTCACAGCACTGTTTTTGTCAAAAAATAAATAATTTTTAAAAAAATCACAAAATTCATTGAAACATTCCTTGGCAAGGACATTGCAGTAGATTAGTAAATTACATAATTTAAAACTGTTGCTGAGAAAAATGTGAAGTTGAAGTGGCAAAACTTAGAATACGATATGACACAAATAAAAAGAGTTCTTGAAGTGCCCGAGCCTGAAAAATGGAAGACCATATCTTACTTTAAAAGGGCAGAGTGGGTCCTGGCGGCATAACTTGGCGACCTTCTTGTTGTTGCTGAGGAAATAGGGTATGTGCTCCGGCGGCAAGGAGATCCTGCTGTAGTTCAGCAGGGGTGAAGCCGGTTTGTGGTCGGTGACCTCAGCCGTCACAGTGCTGACCTCAGCGGGGGGGAAAACTATGCCCAGCGCTACCAAGAGCAGCATAGTCAGAAGGACCGGCAAGACATATGAAACAGCTGCCAGTCTTCACAGCGCTCTGTGAGAATAGGAAAGACACACACTCAGACTTGCACCCTGTGATCTGGGTTTGGGAGAGCAACGCATCACAGAACGGGAGCGTGTGGGCACAGGCAAGCGCGTGGGAACGTGGCTCCAGGCGGATCTGATCTCCGCGCAAGGACAGGTCCTGTTGTTGCAGGAAATAACGCTGGCCTTTTTCCAACTCCTCTCTGAGCAGCCATAGCAAAGACTTCAGGACGGAAAGGAGCTACGGTTCCTGGTGCAGATGGGGGAAAGTCAGAAGCCACAGTGACACAAAAGTCATTGTTTACGATCCAATCTAGTTGGTTGAAAGTCCAGACTTTGCTGGTGCTTTTACAGCCTTGAGCCAATGAAGTGTTTTCCCTTCCAAAGTCAACGACTGACGACTTAGAAATTATAGTGCAACCTTTGGTAAAGCAGCAAGCTCATTGTATTTCCCCACAATAGCTATGAATCTGGTTCATATCTGAAGGAAGGGGAAAGTGAGAAACTGTTTATACTGCACATTTTAAAACAATGGGTGGAAAAAGCTTATGTGGTTCAGTTACACTAAGGAAGCCAGCAGTGAAAGATAATACAGTACAATTACTCCAGCATGGTAAAAATGCTACTTTTATTTAACAGTCCCACACCAAGACCACATGCTTCTTGTTTACTTATGAGGCTCTGCTGATTTTGCAAACAAAACAAATGTGAATTTTTGACTATGTAATTGTAGAAAACTGGTAAAGACATAAAACCCAAAACGGTGATTCTACAAACTTCTGAGTCAGTTCTCATCTGCTTCTTTCTAGTGGTTTTTGCTTTTTTTGTTTCTTATAAAACTAAAACAAATATGCATTGAGGTTTTCGTCCATAACACGGCGAAATTAGTCCACTTATTGCCAGGCACTGCGCCCATCTTCCAGAAGTGAAAAATGTATCACCTGTCATTTTCTTCTGCACTGAACGGCAGAGAGAAACTTATGTTCATGTTAACTCGCAGCTCGCTTTATTTCGCCTGGTAATTTTGAATAAAATTAACTTACGACTCTGCGAACCGCACAGAGCCTTCAGTTACACGTTGTAAATGTAAGTAAACATTCACAACACAGAGATGTAGCGGAAATAAGGCATAAATTGAGTGATTTTTTTTTTTTGTTTTCGTGTAAGAAGTTCTCATGAAAATGTCGAAATAGCTAACATGTAGCTCTGGCTCTTAACAAAGCGAGGAGACCCTTTTAACGTGAAGTTTTGCCGTGCCGTGAAGGCAACGCAGGAGGACACAAAAGATATGTTTCTTCCATGACAGCCACGAGTAATAGCCACCACTGGGTATCTAAATGAATCTAATAATGCGTTGGTGAGGAGCCGCTTTACCTAAACACACAGCCTGCTGTCTCTGACTGAAGCAGCGGTGATGCCGGTGGTCGCCATGTCACCGGAAACCTTCCACGTTAACAGGCTGCACTGTGACCAAGCGGCCACCAGATGGCGCCACGCTTTTACGTTTGGGAACTCAGTTTAATTGGAAACGGCAAAAATAGGTGAAGATTCAGCGTGGATGCAGCGAACTCAATTGATTTTTTTTTCTTTCAAGACATTTTACACGCAACTTAAAACGTCTCAAGCAACGATCGTGATTTTTAGTGCAGGGAAAATGTTGAGATGTGTCACAGACGTCAATATTAAAATGAACAGGGACATTCTTTCCACCTCCCAAATAAATGTTTATTCATTTACATAATTACACATCTTAAAATTGAACCATCAGCACCTCAGAGATTACCGTCGGATCTACGCCGTGCGTTGTGATTTATATAACATTAAGTATACTGACATTTCTCTATACAATAATATAAAGTTCTTAAACCTTCCTGAATGTGCATGGACAAATTCCGACAAAATTTGTACAGTGCAAGCAAATCCTTTACCCCGTCATACAGCAAAAAACTCCACAACACTACGCCAAGGATTTCAAATCAACGTGTTAATCAGCTACCATGAGCATCCTTCATAGTTATTCAGCAACATTACTCCACACATCTGTCCTTAATTCGATAAAGCTCGTAACGGAAAGAAAACGGTGGATAAGATTAAAAAACAATAAGAATAATAATCACAGTTATTAAGTTAGACATTTTACTCTCTGTTATTTGAATGCATCTGTGGCAAACATGAACAACTGAGTTACGCTCAAACAAGGAGGGGAAAGCAGGTAAAACTACTTTATTTCTGATTCTTTAGTAATTCGTCAATCTGAGTTTTATACATATTTTTGACATCTTCCAGGTCCAGTCTCAGTTCCTCTGCTTCCTCAGCCTTTTCTCCATACATCTGCAGGATGGTGTTGTGCCTCTGCTCCAGATCCTGAAACCCACAGACACAGACAAGCAATTCTTAAGAGTGCATCGTTTGCTGTTTGAAGCCACGGTAAGGAATGCATACTCAGCATTGAATTAATCATTTGTCGTCCGCACCTTGAGCTGGATTTTCAACTTTGGGATGTCCTTCACTTTCTCCTGCATCTCATCGTTTTGATTCGTGAGCCGGACCAGCTCTTCTGCCATCACCGAGCGACTTCTCTCCAAACTGGCGATCTCAAGCTACGACAAAATTAAACTGACTTCAATTCAAGAATATGTAGGGAAATTAAATGCTGTTGCGACTCATTTAACTGAAGAGTTATTGTAGATGATGATGGCTGTGAGCAGGAAAGATCTCCAGTAGCAGTCTGTATTGCAACAAATTTCAAGAAGGCTCTTACTGAAGCCTTTTTTTTTTTTTACACCTGGTCAAAAATAAGTTGTTTTTTGTTTATTTTCTGTATTACCTGCAACTGAGCTATCTCTCCTTCTCTCAGTTTAAGCTGAGACTGGAGGTTCTCCATGATGCTGGAGCCTCCAGACAACCTGGCTGCCTCGTACAGGTTGGTTCCGCTCATCGACATGCTGATTGTTCCCATTGAGTGATCCAAACAGTCGTCCTGAGGATGATTAAAACAAAGCATAAAACATTTGGAATCCATTCTCGGATGATGCTACAACGGCTTGAGTTTTGGAAATAAATGTGATCAAAATCAGGACGCACCTGCGACAGAACAGAGGTGTGCAGTCCAGCGATTTCCATCCCGCTGACGGAGCTGGAGCGGGACAAGGACGGCGTGGAAGCCGCTGGCGGTTCTCCAAGAGAGTGTGTTACAGCTTTACGCTCCTGGCGGAGGAAGAAATAAGTTCATTTGGATGAACTGAAAAAAAAATTAAAATGCTTTGAATCAAATGAGAAAAATTCTTGTGGACCTTTTCCTTTAGTGCTTCTTGTGCGAGATAGCATTTCTTCTTCTCTTGCTCCACCTTCATCTTTTCCATCTCCAGCTGGTTGGTCAGCAGCAGCTGGTTAAGGAAGCAAAAGGATACATGAGGAGCTGCTTCGTAACGGAGGACAAGTAGGAGAACGTCCTGCCTTACCTTTTCTTTCTTGGCCTCTTCCAGCATCCGACCGTGTTCTCCTTTCAGATTTGTCAGTTCCGCATGCTCCCTGGACAAAGATGTTTAAAATTATTATAAAACATTTCAAATGCTCTTTCGAGACAGAAATTCTTCTTCACAACTTTCACTCTAAGACACGCAGTTTTGCACGTCTTTATTACCCGTTTCATAACATTCTGTTGGTTTTATTTCATCTCGGCCCAAATACAGTCGAAACAGTCAGAAAAAAAAATCAAAAAGAATCGAGCCAGCCAGGAGTCGAACCTAGAATCTTCTGATCCGTAGTCAGACGCGTTATCCATTGCGCCACTGGCCCAGATGAACAGCCCCACCTCCACACGGAAGATAAAAGCCACGAGGCCGAGCACATGGTCCTCCTGCCGGAGGGGGAGGACCAACTCACAGCACGCATAACAAAAGACCTGCGGTTTCCTGAAACCCTCAAAAACATCACGAGAAATCCAGGAAGCTCTGTGTATTTTTCAAACTTCTAGCAGTTTGCATGGTCACCTTTTTTTTATTTTTTTTATTCATTCTTTAACAACTGCATGTCTTCATCTTTCCCTGAGGTTGAGGATAAAACGTCTGAAAACACATTAGTTGTTTGCAAATCTGTCCATTATGTGTCGATAGGGAACAAGATTGTAGTTTGTTTTTATAATTTAACTATAACAAAGTCCTCAAACAGCCATTAAACTGTGAGTATTAGACCTCAGAACAGAAACATGCATTTCCAAAGTAAAAAAAAAAAAAAAATGAAATAACGCTGGACATGTAAACTTAATTGAATTAAAAACAAAAAGTTATTTCCATGAATGATTTTGTTTTGATAGACTTGGAACGTCACTAAAAGCAGATCCCAGAAGGAAAGTTACTGCTAAATTAAAAGTAGGGATGAGCTGGTGAGGGATTCTGTTGCACTAACCTTTGTATAAAAATACCATGGTTTAATGGTATTTATAGAATAAATTAAAACTAAAAGACAGAACATTATCAAGGGGCTTTAATTTAAAGCAGTAAACAACCCATTTTTTTTCTACTTTTACAAAAATATAATCATTTCTTTATTGTTCATATAATTTTGACAAATGGAAGACAGAACCGAGGCTTTTGTGGTCTATTTTTTTGCCAGCTTCACACACCTTGAGAAAACTTAGGAAAATCAAAAACAATTTGACAGCCTTAATCTAAGAACTTTACATTATATGAACAATACACTGGAAAATCTATGTGTTCAAACCTTGCTATTCACTGATAATTGACATTACCTGCTGCTCTCATCCTCCAGTTTCTCCCTCTTGCTTTTCTCCGCCTCCAGCTGAGCCAGGACTCTGGCTTTTTCCTGCCGGAGCAAGGAATTCTGGGAATCCAACGAAGCCAGCTGGGACTTGATGGACAACAATTCCTCTGCTGCCGATCGCTCCTTCTCCACGGCGACAGCCAGCTGAGTCTGGGCGTCCGCTGCTCAGACGGCCAGAAAGAGACGGCTCAAGCTTCACGGACACCTCCGCGTTTGGCCGACCGTTTTACAAACCCGCGACTTGACGCGCTCTCGAGTCTCACCTAGCCTATCGGAGATGTTCTTCTCCAGTTTCTCCCAGGACGCGGTTTGTCCGCCCAGCGAGGCTTGTAGGTTCTCAATTTGTCGCAGGAGAGGCCGCGTTGCAGACGTGACGCTCTGGCTGAGCTCCTGGTTCCTGGTCTCTGCCTCCTGCAGTCTCTGAAACACATTAAGATCACGGGCGGTTGATGAGATCAAACCTGTTCCTGTCACGATGGAATTTCTAGCTCTGTAGCAAAAATAAATAAATTATTAGCAACTTTTTCTCACCTGCTGAAGCTCACTGATCTCCTCCCTCAAATAATCTTCCTTCTTGGCCTGCTGTTGCTCCGTCCTCTGCAGAGCTATCCTCAGGTCAGCCACCTGCAAACAGGAGATGACAAACAGTTTGGTCACGCTGCTCTGGAACAGGTTCTCCGCTATTTGCATGGGTAATTTTTGTATTTCGACTGTTTAAAAAAGCACGGCATCAAAAACCAGAGAAGCTGTTATTGTCTATTCATTCTCGTGTTATTGAGCCGTGAGAATGAATGTGACTTCAAACGCCATTAAGTGCGTTTCAACAAAAACTGCATGTTTGAGTCAACATAACTTATGGAGTGAAGCAAACGTTTTGTTGTGTTAATAGTACTTGCAGGCTGAGAGAAAAACAAAACAAAAAATAAAAATTAATCAACTAAAGTAGTACTGATACCAAAGTTCACTAGGAAAATGTTAAACAACTTCATCCACTTTGCTGCTTTAAAGTCATCTGTTAAATGTTCTTAAAAGCTGTTTGAAGACATGTTTTTATGCTTAATCATGACGCTTGCCAAATACAGTGATGAGCCAAAAACGTCCCAAAACTGACTGCAAACTATAGCTGCATGTTCGGCTGAGAAGGATTTGCCGTGCTGGGTTGGGGTACCTGGTTGGCAAGTGCCTCCTGCTGGATCCTGGCCTCCTCCTTAGCCTTCTCAAGAGCTAAACTCAGCTCCTCCTTGGCCTGGATTTCCCTGCTTAGAGCCACCTCTTCGGCCTCGCTCGCTCTGCTAGCGTGAGCCTTGTGAAGCTCTGCCAGCTCCCTGGAAGCAGAGAGGAACAGGAAGCATATCAACATATTGCTGCCATGCTGCTGGACTGCAGCATTGGAAAGTGGACATTAGCTTTCGTTTTTTTTCTAACTCAAAAATTCCTTTCACCACAGGGTTTGCCCTAGTAGTGTATTATAAGCCTGGCGGCCCCCCATGCTTTACTAGACCCCCCGCCAGGCCAAGCGTTGCTTGTTTTTGTGGAAATATTAATAAAAATGTAAAAAAGAAAAAAAATGTGTTACAAACGTCTCTGTTGTTCTAACATTTCAGAGTTTAAGAGTTTAAACCCCGCCACGTTCGCTCTGGTTGCGCAGCTCTATGTGAACCGCAGGAATAACTTGTAGCGCCGCCTTCAGAGGTGTGTAGAGCGAGCGGTGAGAATGATTTATATTTGTGAACAAACAATGTGCAGCGTTTACATCTCAACACGCTGCCCAGCGTGTGGTGGCTCTGTCTTCCCTGTCAGGTTCTGTCTTCCCTGGTCGGTCTGTGCGTTAGTGCTTAACGAACCATCGCAAACCTCATCATGCAAGTTCAGCCCAGTGAGGAGCTTTTGCACTTAGTCGCGCATCATGCTGGTTTTATATAATTTTATCATTACTTTTAGTATTATTTTTTCGATGATACGATGCAACAAACCATGTCTACTTAAACAGAGTTAAAACCAAAATTCATTTTAGCACTTGGAGCTTAAGACTGCCATCATCTGAATAATGAACTGATCTTTACTGCTTAAGACAAATAACTGAACGACATGAAGAACCAAAAAAAATAAACATTTTCTAGGATCAAACTGAATGATTGTCAAACTCCACAGCAGTTTGCATGAGGACACAATGAAATCGTCTTATGAGCTAACGTTCTAAATACTCTGTGTCAATAATGAAAAGCTCAATATTTACTTATAAGAGCTGTCTAGGGCAGCTTGGAGGCTCCTGTTTTTTTCCTGCAGTTCCTCGTCGTCCATCTGCAGCCTGCTCAGCTCCTTCTCCTGCTGCTCCACCACACCGTTCAGCTTCTTGATGTTCTCTCTGTGCTGCTTCTCCACCTCCTCCTTCCCATCTAGAACCTGCGACCAGAGAATCAGGAGTCGTGCTTGCTCTCAGAAAAAAGTACTGAATCACAAATTCAAAGGAAAACTGTGATTCTGCTAACAGCTTCCAGGATTCTTAGAATTTCCCGAAACCCGAGTAGAAGTTAAGCACTCTTTGAGCATTTGAGGTCAATTTTCAAATGATGATTGATACGTAATTAAACTGTAATAGGAAATATTCATTACATTGAAATGATGCAAACAAAGTGATTGTTTGTATGTTGAGATAAATGATCTTCATCCTCAAGTTAACTGCTAAAAACACAAAATAAAAGGAAAGTCAGGAAAAATATCTAAAATTGTCCACAATAGGTTTTCTGGCTTTCAGCAAATAGAAATAATTTTGGTAACTCACAAGAAAAGATGAGTCTAATTTAACTTCAGACAGTGAGAAAAAAAAAAGTATCTTTGGTAGGTGTATGAAAATATCTGGTTTCAATTGTAAATTATGGTTTCCAAACTTAGGCTTCTCATCAAGCGCTAGATTACACTTTATTAATAAGCTGTTCAGTTTGAAAATCAAGCACTCTCAAGGGCATTGTCCAGAAAATTTATCACTTTCCAAATCTTGAAAACAGCTGAAGCTCACCATGCCATAATTTGCCACAGAACACACGATCTATTATTTAACCTGAAATATTAGCCGATTCTAATCAGTACCATCACAACAATGGTGCTTATCTTTAAAAATAGGAGAGTGCTCAGCATAATCACATAAGAGCAAATTAGCAAATCGCTCTAATACTTGACACTCACCTGCTGCAGATGCCTAAGCTCCTCCTCTTGCTCCTTGATTTTCTTTTGCTGCTTGGTAATCCTGCTGTCACACTCTTTTTCCTTCACACGCAGTTTCTTGATGATGTTACTGTGTTGCAGCTGCTGTTTCGACAGTTTTTCGCCTAACAGTGAGAGAAATAAACCATTGACAATCAGAAATCACTACCAGAAATGTTTAGTTTCCGGTAGTGAATATATTTGACCTGACAGTTTGCTTTCATTTTCCGCATGTTATCTCAATGTAACATGACAGGGCACTTTAGCATTTTGTATTTTTTTTTGGTTGCGGCCAAAACACGCATCTTTCATTTGCTGGATGCCAAGCAGACGTTTGGTTAGCTTGAGAAGGGGAACTGGGACCGGCGTGCTTGAACAATAATGACTCTCACCCTCTTCCAGCAGGCCTCGGATCTGCTCCTCCTTCTCTCTGATGAGCTCCATCGTATCGCTCGAGTTCAGTCTTGTACTAAGCTCTTCTCGCAAGCCTTTGATCTCCTGCAAAACACACAAGTTAAATAAAAATTACAGTCTTTGTCAGAGTGACTTTGATGTCCCTGTCAACAAACCCTGATATTGTAATCACCTTTTTGGCGATGTCTCTCTCCTTGCAGGCCAGCTGAGCCTTTCTTTCTGCGTCTGCTATGCGCTGAGTGAACTCGTCTTTCAGGGACTGAACAGTGGAGCTCTCTTCCTTCAGGCTTATCACTTCACTGACAGGCGAACAGACGCCACATTAGCTTACTTTAACACCAATATAAAGTGTAATTTTACAATAACATTGAGCTTAAAAAGGAATATGTACGTCTTGGTGTGTAAACTCACTCTTTTAAATTGTCACACTCCTCCTCCAGCCTGGCCTTGTCTTTGCTAACAGCCAGCAGCTGAGACTCTCTCTTCTCTAGGCGGCTTGACAGATCATCGATAACCTGAAATATATCCATAATAAATAATTTGTGAAACGTTAGCGTGTGAACGACACTTTGGAGTCCTCTGGACTGGACACAAGTGCAAGCCATTGAACCACAAAATGCAACAAAGACCGGGCCGTGAAATGGGTCGGTTCCCAAAATATTGACTCTCAATGAAGAATAACACATTCTGTGAATCTAATGTACGATTAAGCCCCAAATTATTCACATCCCTTACAGATTTAGGTTTAGAATTACATTTTAATTATACAAACAGGCTTCTTCTGATTTGAAGTAATATTAAGGTTGATAAATTAGTCATTATCTAGATATATAAATTCAAACTGAGAGGATGTCACCATTGTTTGGTCCACTAACATTATTGCATATCATATGTTTTCCTAATATCATGCAGCTTGTGGATTTGAAGAACTGTAGAGACACATGATGGATTAAAAAGAAAAAAAATAAAGCTCAATCTGAAAGACAAAGTAACTGAAAACATCTGAATTTGGTAGGATAGATACAGTCTTTTTAACAAGTGCAATTGGCAAAAATCGTAAACATTAACGTCGCAAAAAACAAAGATGATTTTTATTCCTATATTTACATCATCTATATCGTCTCTGGGAGTTATTTTTTTGGGCGGAGACAATCACATATTTGAGACCTCTATAATTGGAAGCATACTTTGCTTGTAATGATGTTTAACAGTTAAGTCAACACTTCACATGATAAATTAGAACAATTAGAACAAGCTTGATCATTTCCAATTGCAATATTGTTTCTCTCGTGTCTCTTTAATTCTGTGGATGACAAAATGTTTCGGTTTGGTACATTGGTCCCAACTTGCCCCGTTTCTGAAGGGCAGTTATTTACAAAGACTTCAGCAGCCATTTTATTTGTTGTTGATTTGGATATTGTAGATAGTTCATTAGAAATAAAAGTTTATTGATTTTTGAGAGCGTGTACTTGTACTACTAAGCCATTACCATTATATCACTTGAAAACGGTCTCAAAACAGCAATATCATTTATCGCAATGATTTCTGGGACAATTTATCGGCCAGTAAAAGTAGTTGCTGGTTGAATCTGTCCATTCCCACAGCAACAAGTTAATCAAACTCACCATTTACTGTCATGCAGAGAACAACATCTAACATTGATTTACTGTGAACGAATGTTCATAGCTAAGAAGTGTTAGCTATAAATATTCACAGCTAATATTGTAAGCCAACAGATGCAAAATTTGGCTTAATGAATTATTGCATACATTACTATTGCAATAGTGATTGATAATAATTGACTGTGGAATGGCAACTTGGTCTCATTTGAATGTTGGTGCTTGGTACATATCTATAGAACTGGGATACCTTTTGCAGCTCCAGTATCTGGGCAGGTGAGACACTTTTCATCTCTGCTGTGATTGGTGGAGTGCTCTTTTGTTCTTCGTTGCAGGTAGAACCAAACATCGCATCATCATCGACACCAGAGCACAACTCGTCTGGCTGCTCGCTGTTTACAGGAGTGGCGCTCCGTCCGCTCTCCTCCATCTCGTCCAGCGACTGCTCTTTCCCCGTCTCGGCGTATCCCTCCTCCTTGCCGTCGTTCTCCTCGCCAGCGTTCTCCTCCGCTACATCCTCCTGCTTCAGAGACGTCTCTGTTGAGGGAGCGGGTCCCGCCGTGACTGAGGCCAGAGTCCGGCTCCCGGGGATCTCGTCGTCCGAGTTCACCTCGCTGACACTCCGGCTGTCCAGCGACTGCACGCTGAACGAATCAATGCGCTCGAACGCGTCCGAGGAGGAGCCGCAGCTCTCCGTGAGTTTATGATAGTCTTCCAGTCGAGCGAAATCCCCGCAGGTGGAGGCAGTGAGGAGCTGAAAGGACCCCTGCATCAGGTGAAGCCCGGCTTTGCTCTCGCCGGTTTCTTGCCTGGAGCTGGCCGAGCTTTCGCTCTGCACGCTCTCGTGGTCGAGCACTTCAATGTCACTTGTGGTGGAGGTTCCTGAGGAGAAAGCGCTGACCGGAGGAGAGGGCGTGTCGTTCTGACGGTCCTCTGGTTTGGAGTCTTTTTGACCCGGGAGAGCTTCCTTGGTGGACGTGGGGGTTGCGGGATCCGTCGGGGTAGAGCTTTTAGCTTCAGAAGGAGGAGACTCAGAGGAGTTTGGGGAATCCGTCTCTACCTGATGCTCAGGTGGATCTTCTGGTTCCGGCTCCGTTTTGGATTCTGATGGAGCCGACTCAGCATCCGTCTTCACACAGTCAGGACTGAAAGGGTGGTCACCAGGGGAAGTAACTGGAGAAACCGGCTGGAGGAGGATGGCATCAGCGTAAGGCGCTGCTGGTGAGGAGTTGGCCTCATCCGGCTGGCTGTCGCCCACTGTCTGACTCTCAGTGCTCTGCTCTGTAGGTTCTGTTGGCTCTGCAGGCCCATCCTCATTTTGGATCTGCAGCAAAGCTCCCTGGCTTCTCTTCTCCGTCTCTTGAGTTCGTCTTTGAGACTTTGCAGGGGGTACAGACACAACTTTCGCTTTGGCCACTGGAACATCTCCTGGTGACAGAAAGGCACTGAAAAAGTTCTCGGATTCATCCACAACTGTGCGAGTGACGGGAGTAGTAATGGCCTCGGAGTTGGGAGGAGGAGTGGTGGCCTTTTCTTCAGCGGGGGCTTCCCACTGAGTCATACCCCATCCTCCACTCACTGAAACCTTCCCAGGGGATGTTGTGTCTAAAACAGATATGACATTGATCCTTTGAGATTTGAGGGGTCTTACACGACAAATGCACAGTTTCTGATATTGCTTGCTTACCGTCATAAGGCATCACAACCGTGTCACCCCATTGGTCCTCTTCTTTGATGTCCAGGACTCGGTCAATCGACTTCTGCGCTGTCGTTAAAGCTTGTTTGGCGAAGCTGGACAGGTGAGACGCGTTGAACCAACTCATTCTGACAACGCAGCTAGCTCGTTAGTTAAAGGGCGCTTCGACGTCACCAAGTACGGACCACAACTCGCAGCATTTTCCCCGTTTATACTTGACCTCTTTACAAAAGTCGAGTTTGCCTCTGTTCTGTAAAGCTTCGCAGGCAGAAAACATCGAGGAACTTGATGAAATTAGAGGTTTACGCTGTCGAATAAAAACGTAGCATTGCCGCTGTACATTATGGTTAGTAGTTTCAGCTAGAAAAACTGCTAAATTCGCCCCCAAAATACGGGGTTCCCCACCAGCAAAGATCTTCAGCTGATTAATGACCCAAAAGTCAACGCCAGCTGTCAAGCGAAATCAACTCCGGTGGTTAATTTACGCCTTTTTCGGCTCCTTTTCACGGGCGTCATCGTTTGTTTTGGTCGCACTTGACTTGGAGCTCGGCTAACGCTAGCATGCTCGCTACTTCCTTTCCACGTAGCACAGTGACGTCACGATCCGGTTGGGTTTCTCATGTCGCATTCGCGAGCCGCTCCAAACGTCCAAATCGTAAGTGTGAGTTTGAATAAAGGCAGGGGAAATATACGGTGTTTTCCGTCCTTTCAAATGTGTCGCATGTGAACTGTCGTAAATACAAAAACCTCCTTATTTTGCAGCTTGAATCCAATACGGTAAATCATTGCTCCAGGAGAGTCATTTTGTAATATCCGAGGTACGCGAAGGCAACATGAAAGTCACTTACCTTGACACTCAGCAATAAAAAAACAACAAAACCCCAACAAAAATAAAAAAAACAAATGCACATTTTTGGCAATTCGATCTAAAAATTGAACCCTCAATCTGCAATGTATTTGAAAGGAATTTAGGCAATAGACAACGCAAAGAGGCACATAATAGTGAATTATAAGATACGTAGTTTTCTAAGCAATTTGAAAAGCCTGGCGTGCATTTCTGTTCGGCTCACTCATGTACCCCTAAATAAAATAGTTTAGTTTTCAGATTATTATTTGAAAAGAAAGAAATTGCAAGGTTTTTTTTAACTTCCTTACTATGTACTGCTTTGTGTTGATCCAACACATACAATTTAGGGAATTTTTGACTTAAAAAAATGAAAAAGTCAAAGACATAAAAGCTTCTCCATGATCTATATGTGTCAAATGACTTTTAAAGTACTTCAACAGGACCTTTTTTATATATATACTTTATAGTTTTTATAATATTCACTGTGGAAATAAATGTTAACGTTTATGTACATGAAGCAACACAGTCAATAAGAAAACCATTTTTTAATTCCAGTTCAAACGACTTCCACACAGCTTCAAAAAAAACTGTTTTAATAAATAAGTAAAATCACAGTGAGCAGAAAATATTCTTGTGCAAACTCCAAGGTTCTGAGCATAAAATATTAACACAAAAACCTCAAGATTTGTAAATCATCACTAAAACATGACAAGATGTGGAGGACAATTTGGCTTCTCGGTGCAAAACGTTCACGTTTGTCAACACGTGCACTTTCCCAGTGGAACTGGTCACAACGAAGTAGAACCTGATTGAAAATGCAGTAAACACTTCTGGTGGTCAAAGTGCTTGAAGAAGTTTTATGAGGTAAAGCAGAGTCGGAACAACATGGTTTGGGGTGTGGTGACGTCGGCCACGGCCAGTTCCTGTCCGTCCGTCAGGCCCAGCTCTGAAAAAGAAAACTCATGTTGGCAACAGAAGTGAAGTAAAACATTCAAAATGTTTTCCTTTGACAAGGTACGAGTCTGTGCTGACACGTACGATAAAGCACCTCACCTCTCAAGCTCTTGGAAAGGTTTGGCCGTGTCCTTTGTTCGATTGAAGCAACCGACTGTGAAAGAAAATACCTTGCGTTAAGTTTGTGCTTATATAGTTTCTGGACAAAACAAAACAGAAAAAGAAGAACTAAAAAGTCAAAGGAATTACCTGCAGATATAAAGTTTTGCTCTTTCCTTCGACAGTTGCTGTTACAGCAGGTGATTTCATTTGCCTTAAACAAATGTCGAGTTGTTAAAAATCCAACATATAAATTAGGTACGAAAATTGATAAGAAAACATGGAGAATCAAGGGAACCTACAGGGAGGCGCTCTCAGTGAGGTAGTCCAGAACCTCCTGAAGGGTGGAAGAAGGAGTAAATTGTAGATCCTGAGGTATCTGGCTGCAGGCTGAGCAGTTTTCCTACATCAGGAAGAGTCACATATTCACTTCAGCCAATCGAAACATCTGAAATCTAGAGATGAATATGAAACAAGAGGGGACAAACCTTCCGTTCTGCCTCAAAAGTGTAAGTGTATAAGCCGTCCACGTCATTGAAGACCATGTAATTGCTAAGAGGTAAGTAGGCGCTGCAAAAATGGAACATATGAGGAACAGTGAGGGTTGGTGAACACATTTGTAGACATGTCTGCAAAAAAGATTTACCCCTTACCTTGTTGCTAGCTTGAAAACCTCTGTTGCACAAGCAGCTGCGTCGCAAAAAGAGAACAACAAAGAAGTTCAGGCACATGTGTTGGTTTTTTTTATAAAACACGTTAAGTAAAGACTGACGGTGTTATTCCGCAACAGAGGTTTTCAACCGACAAGAATGCTTTTCAGTGTGAATGTTGAAGCGAAGCCAACTCGGTTCGCCATTTTCCAAACTGAAGACGGAGAAACAACAGAGGTGTAAGACTGTTTTGAAGGAAACCGTTTCCTAAGTAGCAACAATAAATGTCTGGTTTAGAGAGAGAGAGAGAGAATCATATCAGATAAAAGGAAGTACAGCAAAGTTACTCTGTTTCACTCTTTTGAGAGTGAAACAGTCATGGAACATATGAGACTTCCAGATGTTGGAAGACCTTTGAAAATCTCAGAGTCTTTGCAAAACACAAGTCTGAATCCACCAAGAAAATGCCAATGAATGCGTCTAAAATCTAAGCTACTTACCAGCAATGACAGCATTTGTAGAAGCTACAGCTGGAATTATTCGTTTGACAACACCTGCAAAATTCAAAGGGAAAATCTTCTTTGCTTACCTTGTCATTACTTAATCAAAAAAGTACTGATTAAGTAATCATTACTTAATCATTAAATAATGATTAAGTAATCATAAGTGATGATTATTTATTATCAATAGAATTTGTCAATGACAAATGGCATTGACAAAGGTTCAGGTCAATGAAATACCAGCCTGCAAAAATATAAAACATCATAAAAACATGTCTCTGTTACTTTTTTTTTTTTACTCTCTAAATATACCAAGCAGAGACTGCAGCAAAAGTTTACAAAGCAGGTTAGCAACGTTTCAGTTTTATGCATCTCGACTTATTTCCCAGAGGAGTAGCGGTCAGCTAGCAGCAGACGTGCGGTTTTATGCTCACCCTGTGTAAGTCTGTAAGTAACTCCTGTTATGTTGAACTCTGCAGACCTCTCCAGAGACCTCTGGAACACCCACTGGATGTGCTCTGGCTCATCTCCGTCCAAGGCTACACCCTCTAAAACAGAACAGCCAAGGAACTGAGCTAAAAGTTACAAAGACGATATTTAAAAAAAAAAAAGAAGCTGCGAGTAAAAGTAATCCGACTCCGTCGTTTACCTCCAAAAGGCATCTCCTTCGGCCACTGCAGTATTCGTACATATTCGACGCAATGTTCCGGCAAACGAGGCATTGTCGCTATTGTGCACATGGGGAAGTTGATCTACAAGAACAAGTGGACATTGTTCTTGTAGATCAACTTGTATTTGATTCGGTGCCCGAGTCGGTCCAGTCAATATAGCTCTTCCTAAAAGGTGTGTTAATTACTTGGGGAGGATAGAGTTCAAGTGTACAGTCAACGCAGGCTGTCAAGCCTGGGAGAATGACCCTGGCGTTGCCTTTAAAGCCTTCGGTCCCGCCATCAACAAGTGGGATAACCGAGGTTTGATCCACTTCGCCATCCTCATACACGAGCAAAGATAGCTGTGCATTAAAAAAAAAAAAAAAAAACAAGAAATAGAAACACTTAAACGTGTTCTTGTCAACTAAAAATCTAATTTTTCATATTTAAATGCACATAAAGAAACACACTTACCAGCATACCATTCATCCACCTCCTGGCAACAATGGAGTCAAGCCCACAGACGATAATATGGAATTCTACATGAAGACAGGTGTCAATAAATTAGGTACGATTTCAAGTAGGAAACGGTGAAAATGCAAAGAACTGGGACACAAACAAAAAGGATCCAAAAGTAGGATCACACACAATAGTAAATAAATCCTTTCCATGGCTTATTTACCATTCAAAATACGTTTTAATCAACCTTTCTACTTCTCATTGACCTTCAACTGCTGACTGATTCAAATGTAAATTCCTATCGGTTGGTTCTCATTATTCTGCTGAAGGCTGCAACTAACGATTATTTTAGTAGCTGATTAGTCTATCGATTATTCAGGCGATTATTTGGATAAAAAAAAAAAAAAAGAAGAAGTGGCACATTCTGCAGATTTTTCATTTAAACACTTAAGCCTTTCAAAAAGATACAAACAAAGTACTCAACTCTGTTTTTTAAATAACAGATTGCCAAAAACAATCACTTTTTTTAGTGATTGTGGCAAAGCATGCTAAAAACATACAACCATCATCTACATGTCAAAAGTTCAAACCTTTCTGATATTCACTGCTCATTTACTATTTTTTTGGATTAACTAATTAATAATTGGATAGAAGACGGTGCTGAATAGGATATTTGTTTTTGGATTTTTTGGGGGGGGTTTTGCAGAATTTGAAGCAGGTGAAGCTAAACTACGCCACTTGAGGAGTTGTGGGTGGAACATATTTACAGTTTTAGTTTAATTACTGCCCCCAGTACTTTATTGTTTCAGGAAATGACCTCTTTTTTAGTCTGAATTCTTTAGTTAACAAGGTAATAAAATATGGCAACATTATGATTACTTCATGATGTTCCACAAGCCTGTTCTTTTGATGCTGTGACACATTTCGTAAATTTTTTTCTGTACTGAGCCTTGAATGTTGTTTGTCACTAATGAGCAGCTTTCTACAAAAGCGGTCACTATATAACTCATTGTGAGAGTGTTATTATGGTAGCTCACTTCACTACAAAATGCCGTATTATGCTGCTCATTGACTGCGTTCCTCGTCAGGAAAATTATTACTTGAGTGGATCTGAAGAGAAGTCAGGGGAGTGTATTAAAAATGCTTACGTCTGTAGAACGTTTCATCTAAGTCTTGAATTTTCTTAAAATGCCTGCAGAAACCATTAAGGAGAAGACCAATTTTTAAAACGCTAATTTGCTTTCACTTCCTGAGAATTGCTGTTGTGATCGGCCGCTTAAATTGTGCTTTCTAAAATTAAACTTGTTTCTTCCTTCTTACAAAGAAAATTTCCAAAAATATTGTGGGTTAGCAATCTAAAATCTTGCGTCCCTTTCAATGAAAAGGATACGGAACTACGTGGCACCCTGGTATTC